AAACGCTAAAATGCTCATGAAGTGACTCTCAGAGCAGTTCTGGAGATGTTGTTCATGTGTTTACGTTCTCATTTAGTGAGACGGCAGACGCTGAAATCAACGCGAGTGTCAGGCGCGCTTCAGTATGTATGTATGTAGTAAATGAAACCACGCTTCTGCGCCATTCATTAACAGAGACAGGCAGAACATGCGGGATGCATATTTAAATAGTATTTTAATATTTACAGATACTAGTCCATATCGTGATTTGATTTAAGTGTAATGACCTACTTTTGATTAATTCATTCAAAATTTGACAAATTCCGTGACATTCCGCGTTAAACTGTGAATTCTGTTTTTATGACTGGATAAAGACTACACTGCGTAATTTTCCCGCTTATCATGCGGCCACTTGCCTGATGTGAACATAAAATATCTTACATACCACCACTTGTGAACGAGCCAGTGTAGCCTAATGCAAATATATCTGAAAGGTCTGCGCGAGGATATCGTCACGTTCTCGCGAGACCAGTCAGATCTCCCGAGACACATTTGATCTTGTGAGATCTCGTGCCACGAGATCTCGTCACACCCCTAATATCGACTGATATGAAAATTTTATTGTGATTTTATTATCTAAGCAATATTGTGAAATATTATTACAATTCAAAATAACTGTTTTCTGTTTTAACATATGCTAAAATGTAATTTATTCCTGTGATGGCAAAGCAAAATTTTCAGCAGCCATTATTTCAGTCTTCAGCGTCACATGATCCTTCAGAAATCATTCTTATATGTGACCCTGGACCACAAAACCAGTCATAAGGGTCAAATTTTCGAAATTGAGATTTATACATCATCTGAAAGCTGAATAGATAAGCTTTCCATTGATGAATGGTTTGTTAGGATAGGACAATATCCGAGATACAACTATTTGAATATCTAATATATATTTGAGAGTGCAAAAAAATGAAAATACTGAGAAAATCACCTTTAAAGGGGTCATATGATGTTGCTAAAAAGAACATTATTTTGTGTATTTGCCACATATGCTAATTTGGTGCTCAAGAAACATTTATAATTGTTATCGAATTGAACTGAAAACAGTTGTGCTGAATTCACTTGAACTGAAAACAGCTGTGCTGTTTAATATTTTTGTGGAAATACATTTTTAGGATTCTTTGATGAACAGAAAGTTTAAAAGAACAGCATGTATTAAATAAATCTGACTCTTACTGACACTTTTGATCAATTAAATGTGTCATTTCTGAAAAAAAACTAAAAAATAAAAAATTATCATACTGAAACAGAACTTTCGAACGGTAGTGTATATACAAAAAAGTATAATTTAGATAAAAAGAAATACGACAAGTAACTACAATTAGAATCATTTAAGAATCTGCAAAGTTTGCGATGAGATCAGTCCTTGGGCTCTGGCATTCATTAGATGCATCAGTCTGAAAATATTGTATCTACCGTCAGTTCTTCACTTTTCCATTACATTCCAGCACTCAGCGGAGAGAGAGCCTGTGTTTGCTGC